GTGACAGAGTGAGACTCCATCTCAAAAAAAAAAAAAAAAAAATTTTTTTTTAATTTAAAAAAAAAGAGTGTAAAAGGTTGCTGAGATCAAAATGGTTGAGGATCACTTGTCAATGTATTATCCTGTGATCTTTTCACTCAGCAGTGCTGAAACCCTCTTAAGGACAGCTATGGCCACAGATTCTCAGGAAAGACCATTAAGATTTCCTGTCTTAGGCAGGCCCCTCGAATCAGACCCTCCACTTTGTGTTAGCCTGAGGTTTTGTCTCCTCTCTTCCTGGCATCTGTCAAAATGGAGGCCCTCAGTCCCTGAGGCCAGTGGCTGCTCAGAGGCAAGAAGCCCATGGGGAGCTGCCAGCTTGTGTCTGTTTTCCTCTCTGAATTCTGGTTCCCACAAAAATGTTGGCGTCTGAGGATTTCCCCTTCTTGAAGATCAGTTAGGTATATAACTCTGTGTTTTAATATTTTGCTTTATACTTTCAGGTGTTTTTTATAGTGAGAAGATTTTTTGTTTGTTTGAGTCAGGGTCTCACTCTGTCACCCAGGCTGGATAGCAGTGGCACAACTGGGGTTCATCACAGCCTCGACTTCATGGGTTCAGGTGATCCTTCTGCCCTAACCTCCCAAGTAGTGAGGACTACAGGCATGCACCACCACGCCTGCCTAATTTTTTTATATTTTTATTTTTTGTAGAGACGAGGTCTTGCTATGTTGCCTAGTCTGGTCTCAAGTTCCTGGGCTCAAACAATTCTCCTGCTTCAGCCTCCCAAAGTGCTGGGACTACAGGTGCATTCCACCACACCTGGAGATGAGGTCTTGCTATGTTACCCAGGTTGGTCTCAAACTCCTGGACTCAAACAATTCTCCTACTTCAGACTCCCAAAGTGCATTATAGGTGTGAGCCATCATGTCTGGCCTGGTTTTTTTTTGAGATATATAACTTATATCTCAAACTTATAGTTTGATTTATAGTTTAACTTATAGTTTCCCCAGAAATAGAAGCTGTCATTCTATCTCTACTTTTCTTTTCTTTTCTTGTTTTTTATGAGTTGGAGTCTCACTCTGTGGCCCAGACTGGAGTGCAGTGGCCGCTCCCGGTCACTTCAGCCTCGACCTCCTGGGTTCAGGCGATCCTTCCACCTCAGCCTTCCTAGTATCTGGAACTACAGGCGTGCGCTACCATGCTCGGCTAACTTTTTTGATTTATTGTAGAGATGAGGTCTCGCCAAGTTGCCCAGGTGGGTCTCGAAACCTCGGGCTTAGGCAATATCTCTACTTTTCTAGATCTCTGCATTCACACACACATACACACACACACGCACACGCCTATCTAACTTTGTCAGCCATGTTAGCTTGTCTGGCCTACTAAGGACAGAAGCAGTGAAAAGTCATTAGGTTGATTCCATGCCTTTTACAGAATCTGTGCTACCCACTGGCCAAAGTGTGCTCCTCAGAATTGTCTGCTCTAAATAATATAGCCCAAGTTCATAGAGAGACTACATTTCCTAGAAATATTTATAAGAATCCCATTGAGCGTAGAGGATTCACTTGTTAGGGGAACACAAAGTACATACTTAGAATAGACACTTCTCAAAAGAAGATATATGGGTAGCCTACAGACACATGAAAAAGTGCTCAGCCTCACTCAACATCAGAGAAATGCAAATCAAAACCACATTGAGATACCACCTAACCCCAGTAAGAATGACCATCATTAATAAAACAAACAACAGATGCTGGCAAGGATGTGGAGAAAAAGGAATGCTTCTGTACTGCTGGTGGGAATGCAAACTAGTGCAATCTCTTTGGAAGACAGTGTGCGATTTCTGAAAGAACTAGAAAATGACCTTCCAAATGTCCCAGGAATTCCCCTATTGAGAATATACCTGCAGGAACTCAAATAATTCTACAAAAAAGATACCTGCACACATATGTTTGTTGCAGCTCTATTCACAATAGCAAAAACATGGAACCAACTGTGTTGCTTATCAAAGCTGGACTGGATAAAAGAAATGTGGTACATATACATGATGGAATATTATGCAGCCATAAAGAAGGACAAATATACTTTGCAGCAACTTGGATGCATTTGGAGTTGATCATACTCAGTGATTTATCACAGAAACAAAGAACAGAGTGCCATATGTTCTCACTCATAAGCGGACCTTGAACAATTATAATGCTATAAGAAAGCAATTGGCAGTAGTGGGAAATTGTCGGGGAGGGGGTGGGATTGGCAGTTGAGGGGAACTGCTAGGGGAAGGAGGGGTATACCTCATCAACAAGGGTACCTGCATGATCAATGTTTATATACCTAACCCTGAAATGTACCCCACATCTTTATAATAAAAATAAAAAATAAAAAAAGAAAGTGAGCAAATCAACACCAAGGTAGGGCACGTGCTTTCATAGGTAAGTCCACCCGGTTGCTGTCTGGTTGACAATGTTTGTGCTTACCGGAGTCCACTTCTGTCCTTTTTCCAAGACCATGAAATGCGTGTTATCTCCTAAGGTCTGAAAGAACTCTTCTGTGTCCACCACAGTGCCATCTTCCTCCAGCACCAGAGTGACCAATCCGGCAGTGATGACCAGGACATCCAGAGTCTAGGTTTGCAACACACCAGAAAAATGAAATGATGCCAGATATTTCCATGTGACCACTCAATGACATTTATTAGGCTCTAATTTTCAGAAGTGTTGGCTGATTTGGGTAAAATTTTAATGGTTAAGATACACCTCAACCGGGCTCGGTGTCTCAGCCTGTAATCCCACGCTTTGGGAGGCTGAAGTGAGTGGATTGCCTGAGCCTGCGGGTTCGAGACCTGCCTGGGCAACTTAGTGAGACCTCATCTCTACAATAAATCAGCCGGGCGTGGTAGCGCATGCCTGTAATTCCGGCTACTTGGAAGGCTGAGGCGGAAGGATCGCCGGAGCCCAGCAGGTCGAGGCTGCGGTGGCCGGGAGTGGCCACTGCACTCCAGTCTGGGTAACAGAGTGAGACTCCAACTCAAAAAAAAAAAAAAAAGATATACCTCAATTCGTGTTTATAACTTAGCTTTGCTCGAATAAAGGGAAAGTTTTTTTTTTGTTGTTTTGCAATGAGATCTCGCTCTGACACCTAGGCTGAAGTGCAATGGTGTCATCACAGCTCACTGTAGCCTCAAACTCCTGGGTTCAAACAATCTTCAGCCTCTTGAGTAGCTGGGACTATAGGCGTGCACCGCTATGTCCAGTCAGGTAGTTAAGATATTTTTTTTTTTTTTTGAGTTGGAGTCTCACTCTGTCACCCAGACTGGAGCGCAGTGGCCACTCCCGGCCCCCGCAGCCTCGACCTGCTGGGCTCCGGCGATCCTTCCGCCTCCGCCTTCCAAGTAGCTAGAACTACAGGCACGCCCGGCTAATTTTTTGATTTATTGTAGAGATGAGGTCTTGCTAAGTTGCCCAGGTGGGTCTTGAACCCGCAGGCTCAGGCAATCCACTCACCTTAGTCTCCCAAAGTGCAGGATTACAGGCTGAGCCACTGAGCCTGGCTGGAAGTTAAGATTTTTAATGAATCTATCTTCTATGTACGTTAGGTAAATGATCATACTGAATAATATTTATAATTTCTAAGAGTACCTACTTATTTAGATTGATAAAAAGAAAAATGCTGCACATTTGACATTTTAAAAGCTGTGGCCTCATGTGGCATATCTGAACATCTCTCTTGCTTTAGGGACTACATGTGGACACTCATTTCTTGTTTCTGTGGGTGCCTGTGAGAATCTAGGATTCTTCTTTATTTGGTGGTCTAAGGCACTGTTTTAGATTGAGAGTCCAATTCTATCCTGGCCTTTGCAACCAAAACCAGACTTCCAAAATTTACCTCTTCCCTATATATTCCCTTGTCAAAGAAACAAAGCTATGTTATCCAATAGTGACTATTACTATTATTAGTAGTATTTTTGTGGAAACAGGGTCTTTCTATGTTGCCCAGGCTGGTCTCAAACTCCTGGCCTCAAGTGATCCTCTGGCCTCAGCCTCCCAAAGTGCTCGGATAAGTGTGAGTCACCATGCCCTCCCAATGACTACCTTTAAGGGTTTTGTCTCTGTACCTAAATCTTTTATGGTACAGAGATGTAATAATGTTTCCTTTGTTTATTTATTATTATTTTGGGGAAGGGTCAGAGTCTCCTCTGTTGCTCAGGCTGGAGTGCAGTGGCGTGATCATGGCTCATTACAATCTTGACCTCCCGAGCTCAAGTGATCCTTCTACCTCAGCCTCCCAAGTAGCTGGGACTACAGGTGCCCACCTCCACACTTGGCTAGTTTTTTTTATTCTTTGTAGAGGCAGGGTCTTGACATTTGCCCAGACTGGTCTCAAACTCCTGGGTTTAAGCAATCCTCCCACCTCCACCGCCAAAGTACTAGGATTGTAAGCATGAGCCACCATGCCCGGCCTCCTTTGGTTACCTATATCTACCCTTTATTCACTTAGAAACAGCTCCCTTCTGACTCTCTAAGGCCAAGAGAGGGTCTGATTAATTTAACATGCCATTTTTCTTTCTTTCTTTCTCTTTTTTTTCTTTTGAGTTGAAGTCCCACTCCGTCACCCAGGCTGGAGTACAGTGGCATGCTCACGGCTCAACTTGCTGGGCTCCGGTGATTCTGCCACATCAGCCTTCCAAGTAGCTGGAACAACAGGCGCACGCTACCATACCCAGCTCATTTTTGATTTATTGTAGAGATGAGGTCTTGCCAAGTTGCCCAGGCTGGTCTCGAACCCAGGGTTCAGGTAATCCACTCGCCTCGGCCTCCCAAAGTGCTGGGATTACAGACTGAGGCACTGAGACCAGCCTCTTTCTCTTTCTCTTTAACCAGTTTTATTGAGCTATAACTTGCATATTATACAATTCACCCACTTAAGATGTACAAGTCAATGGCTCTGAGTACACTCACTGATTTGGGTAGCCACCACCACAAGCCATTTCCATCCTCCAAGAAGGAAACTGCATAACCACCAGCAGCTGCTCCCAATCTCTGTCTCCTCCTTCCTCTGGGTGGCATACCGTTTTCCGTGGCCTTTCTCTCCTTGCACTGGCTTCCCCAAGGCTACGGCCCTATGTGAGGTCACAGCCCCGTGGACGAGGCAGGTGTGGGGTGCGTGGTACCTTGCTGATGAGTTCCTTCAGGCTGTTGGCCATCACCCCACGCCGGCTGCTCCGGTCGTGGTTGGAGACCCGGAAGGGGCGAGCCGGATGCATGAGCGGGGTGAGCAGAACTCGCTTCGTCTGTGATCCCATGAAGGTCAGAGGCCTGGAGTGGAGGCCAAAAGTAAAAACTTTTTAAAAAGCTCTTTAAGGAGAGGTTTGAAGTGCGTAGAAGTAATGCAGTTTTAATATTGGCAGGTAAAAGAAATAAAGACAATAACTGGGAGTTATTAAAAACTACATATACGTGCAAGTACGCATATCTCCAAGAACAAACAAGTGGGGCATCAAATTAACAAACACAGCCATCTTAATTCTTGTTTCACCAGAATATTCAAAGTCCTTGCCAAAGCTAAGAAGGGATGGTAAGGATATCAAACTCAGAAAAGAAATAAGAATTATATTGTACAAATATGGATGGGTTTTTGAGATCTGAAAAATCCAGAAGCATAATTTCTTGTGGCCATGAAGTAGTTAAGCAGACTTAGAGAATTAGGCACACTGTTACACACACAGACACTGCACACATACACTGTTACATATTTACACAACATGACTAAGGCGGAAATTAACTAAAAAGCTAGATCTTGGTCACTACAGCAATCAATCAAGTTCTGAAATCAACCTAAGATAAATCAAGAACAGCCGGGCTCGGTGGCTCAGCCTGTCATCCCAGCACTTTGGGAGGCCGAGGCGAGTGGACTGTCTGAGCCCGTGGGTTCGAGACCCACCCGGGCAACTTGGCGAGACCTCGTCTCTACAATAAATCAAAAATTAGCCAGGCGTGGTAGCACATGCCTGTAGTTCCCGTTACTTGGAAGGCTGAGACGGAAGGACCGCCGGAGCCCAGCAGGTCGACACTGGGGTGGCTGTGAGTGTGCCATTGCACTCCAGCCTGGGCGACAGAGTGAGGCTCCAACTCAAAAAAAGGAAAACAAAGATAAACCAAGAACATCAGAATCACAACTGTGGCTGGAGTCACAAGCAGGAGGGAGCCTTGGGCTCACATCATAGGATACTTTGCCACATTTGCCAAAGAATTCATTCAAACATTAGCTATAAAAAGTACTAACATGAAGAAAAGAAAACAGCTGTAGCAAAACCAATCTGAGATAATTTGTTGAGGAAAAAATCCCCAGCACATGATAATCCTTAGTTGCCTAGCAACTGCAAAAAAGTAATAACATGAGGATCAGTGAGGAACAGACGAGAAGCAGCTTACTTCCTTAGTGGTTATTTAACAAATACATATTTTTCTTTCTACATGCTAACTCGCTTAATTCTCTGGAGCCCTGTGATGTAGTGCACATTTTCTCAATTCCGAGAGGAAGCATGTCAGGCCTGAGAGCAGTCCCCATGCTGAATCGCCCGAGCCCAGATGCAGGCTTCCTCCTGGGGACGCTCAGTAGCTAAAGAACAAGAATAATCTGCATATCAGTAAACAGATGAAGTTTGACAGCAATTCAATAAATCAGAAGACCTGGCATAATGGCTCATGCTTATAATCCCAGCATTTTGGGAGGCCGAGGTGGGAGGATTGCTTGAGCCCAGGAGCTCGAGACCAGCCTGGGTAAGATAGCAAGAATTTTTTCGACAAAAAATTTAGCCAGGTGTGGTGGCACATACCTGTAGACCCAGCTATTCAGGAGGCTGAGGCAGAAGGATCACCTGAGCCCAGGAGATTGCAGCTGCAATGAGCCATGATCATGCCCCTGCACTCCAGCCTGGGCAACAGAGTAAGATCCTGACTCAAACAACAACAACAATACACTACTGCATACTTTTAAATAAAAAAGCAAGACGTTATTTATTTATTCATTTATTGTTATTATTATTATTTAGTTGGAGTCTCACTCTGTCACCCAGACTGGAGTGCAGTGGCTGTTCCCGGCCACCATAGCCTTGATCTGCTGGGCTCTGGTGATCCTTCCGCCTCAGCCTTCCAAGTAGCTACCACGCCTGGCTAATTTTTTGATTTGTTGTAGAGATGAGGTCTCGCCAAGTTGCCCAGGCAGGTCTCGAACCCACGGGCTCAGGCAATTCACTCACTTCAGCCTCCCAAAGCGGTGGCTGAGCCACCGAGCCCGGCATATTATTATTTTAGAGTTGGCATCTCACTCTGTTGCCCAGGCTGGAGTGCGGTGGTGTGGTCATGGCTACTGCAGCCTCAACATGCTAGGCTTAGGTGGTCCTTCCACCTCAACCTGCCAAGTACCTGGAACTACAAGCGCATGCCACCATACCTGGTTAATTTTAAAAATGTAATGTAGAGACCTCGTCTCGCCAAGTTACCCAGGTCGGTCTTGAACCCCTGGACTCAGGCAATCCTCTCACCTCGGCCTCCCAAGTGCTGGGATTACAGGTATGAATCTCCGTGACCAGTCAAGCAAGATATCATTTAAAAATAATTCCAGGGTCCGGGCACAGTGGCTCAATCCTGTAATTCCAGCACTTTGGAAGGCCAAGGTGAGTGGATTACCTGAGACCACGGGTTTGAGACCAGCCCAGGCAACTTGACGAGACCTTGTCTCTACAATAAAAAATAATAATAATAATAATAATGGGCGTGGTAGCACACACCTATAGTTCCGGGTATTTGGACAGATCGCTGGAGCCCAATAGGTTGACACTGGGATGGCCATAAGTGTCCCATGGCACTCCAGCCTGGGCAATGAGTGAGACTCCAACTCAAAAAAAAAAAAAAATAGATGCGTGAAGAAATGATTCCAAATAATGTTAACAGAAAGGAGCAAGATCTCAGGTCTTGCTAGTGCCAGGCACTGGGAGTGTGCTTTCCACAGGATCTCATTTAACCTCCCATGGCCCCCAGGGACCAGCACTGGATACAGTAGTGTGGCCACACCCAGGACAGTACCCATCTGTTTCAGGGCTCAAAACAGTGGTTGACTACTTGGACCAATGATTGTACAGGTACATTCAAGACAATAAAACAAAGGGCTGTATTTCCAGGAGAACCTGGTAGAAGATACAAAGTTTGCAAGCACATTGCTGCTTTCTGACACTTAAAGCAGTTTGTCTAGATTAACTTTCCGAAAGATACCTGCACTGATCGCCAGTGTCAGTCTGTCACCTATGATTTAGCCCTTTATTGTATACACACACACACACACACACACACACACGTCATTCACCTATGCTTTAATTCCCAACTAGGTTGGAATTTCCTTATGGAAATTCTTTTTTTTTTTTTTTGAGTTGGAGTCTCACTCTGCCGCCCAGACTGGAGTGCAATGGCACGCTCCCAGCCACCGCAGCCTCAACCTGCTGGGCTCCGGGGATCCTTCTGCCTCAGCCTTCCGAGTAACTGGAACTACAGGCACACGCTACCACGCCCGGCTAATTTCTGATTTGTTGTAGAGATGAGGTCTCGCCAAGTTGTCTGGCGGGTCTCAGGCAATTCCCTCGCCTCGGCCTCCCAAAGTGCTGGGATTATAGGCCGAGCCACTGAGCCTGGCCGAAAATTATTTATTATATTTCCTATAATACCAAGCTCAGTGCTAGACACATACATTTTTTAAAAATTTGGTGTCTCACTCTGTTGTCCAGGGTGGAGTGCCATGGCACACTCATGGCCACCCCAGCGTCGACCTGCTGGGCTCCGGCGATCCTTCGGCCTCAGCCTTCCAAGTAGCTGGAACTACAGGCATGCGCTTACTGCACCCGGCTAATTTTTGCCTTTTTATTGTAGAGTCGAGGTCTCGCCAAGTTGCCCGGGCTGATCTTGAACCTGCGGGCTCAGGCAATCCACTAACTTGTTGTCTAACTTGAAGCTCTACAAATGGACTCATGTGAGAATTCAATGACTTACCAAGTAATTTGCTATATAGCAAAACTGATGATATAGCATCAAACTGGCTCTCCAAAGCTGTCAGGTAAAATTCATGATACAGGCTGGGCTTGGTGGCTCAGCCTGTAATCCCAGCACTTTGGGAGGCCAAGGCAAGTGGACTGCCTGAGCCAGCGGGTTCCAGACCCACCTGGGCAACTTGGTGAGACCTCCTCTCTACAATAAATCAAAAATTAACCAGGTTTGGTAGCGTGTACCTGTAGTTCCGGCTACTTGGAAAGCTGAGGCGGAAGGATCGCCGGAGCCCAGCAGGTGGAACCTGCGGTGGCTGGGAGCGGCCACTGCACTCCAGTCTGTGTGACAGAGTGAGACTCCAACTCAAGAAAAACAAAAACAAAAACAAAAAAAACTCATCATACCAAGTTGATCAATCAGTTTCAGGAGGTTCTCCATAATGAGTGTTTGTGCCTTATCCCTGTGCCCCGACATCAAATTGGCATCTAGAACCAGGCCTAGCATGGCAGCAAGAATCTGCTCTGAGGAGCATTTGCCCAGCATCCCCTTAGTGCCTCGTAACTGCTCATTGCACCTGAGCACTTGCTATGGCCACAATGAACTAGCTCTTTAAGCTAAGATGAGTGTTAGTTTAATATTCATTCTTTATCCTCACAACCTTAGTTTTCACAGTTTTCACAGATGAGAGAATTGAAGCTCAGAATGCTTTGTCAAGGTCACCCTGTTAAAAAGGAAAAGAGATGGAGCACAAGCCCAGGTCTGTCCAAAGACACGGTATTTTGGGGGGAGGGGTGGGGGGAGTAGGTTGTTTTGTTATCTGTTGGCAAAGTCACTACACAATTTGTTGCCAGTGTGGCAACACCAAGGAGAACGTGCCAGGTCGGGGTCCTCAACTTGGGCCACCTGTTGGAAGGCCTGGGTGCCTTTGCCCACCAAGTAGACCAGAGCCTTGCCCTGACTCAGCAGCAAACTAGCGTGGCAGTGAGACTGGCACACAACTTCTGAACTTTTGCCTCGATCAAAAGGAGTTACATCCGGCTCCTCAGTTACACAACGCCATGAACAGGATGTTCACAGGCTGCTCAGTTAACACCAGAGGGAATTCAGGCACATTCTGGGTCCCGGTGACCCCGTGGGGGAGGGCAACGCGGATTAGCCATACTAAGCTTCAGAACCCTGGCTCCGTCCTCCACATCGTCATAGCATCTGAAATTTACACTGACTGTGAAGTCCCAGGAGGGAGGGAGGAAGAAAGGTGTAAGTTCCACTTGGTACCGACACCTGTACACATTAGTGACTTACCTAATAACTCCATGAGATTAATCTTACTGATGAGTAAACTGAGGTTGAAGAATAAGGTCAGAGTTAGCAAGTGCT